ATGGCCAACAGACACATGAAAAAAATGCTCAACATCACTCCACACCAGGGAAATACACATCAAAACCACAATGAGATATCACCTCACACCAGTCAGAATGGCTAAAATTAACAAGTCAGGAAATGACAGATGTTGGCAAGGATGCGAAGAAAGGGGAACCCTCTTACACTGCTGGTGGGAAGGCAAGCTGGTGCAGGCACTCTGGAAAACAGTATGGAGGTTCCTCAAAAAGTTGAAAATAGAGCCATTCCACTCTTAGGTATTTACCCAAGAAAAATGAAAGCATATGTCCATTCAAAGCCCTGTACACAAATGTTCATGGCAGCTTTATTTTTAATAGCCCAAACTGGAAACAACCCAAATGCTCATCAACAAAGGAACAGATAAACAATCTGTGGTACATGCAGACAATGGAATGCATTTCAGCAATAAAATGAACTACTGACACATGCTAGAACATGGATGAATCTCAAAATAATTATGTTGAGTGAAAAGACAGACCCCTGCCAAAAAAGGAATACATACTTTATGATTTTATTTCTATAAAATTCTAGAAAATGCAAACTGAAGTAACAGAAAGCACATCAGTGGTTGCCTGGGGATTGGGGTGAGTGAGAAGAGGTGGGATGGAGGGATTAAAAAGAGGTATCAAGAAGCTTTGGGAGTGCTGGATATGTTTACTATCTTCACAGATACATATTATGGCAAAACATATTATATTCATTAAATATGTTCAAATTATTGTATGTCAGTTATACATCAATAAGGTTGTTTTAAAATGATGCAGTAAACAAAAGTGAAAGGCAAATAAAGTAGGAATGATGCAAAATATGTGCTGGTTAAAACTTATTCTTACCAGACAGGTGACTATAAAACACTGATGAAACAGACTGAAGATGACACAAACAAATGGAAAGATATTCTATGCTCATGGGATGGAAGATGTCCATACTACCCAAAGCAATCTACAGATTTAATGCAATCCCTATCAAAATACCAACAACAGGAGTGCCTGGGTGGCTCAGTCGGTTAAGCGTCTGCTTTCGGCTCAGGTCATGATCCCAGGGTCCTGGGATTGAGCCCCATGTGGGGCTCCCTGCTCAGCTGGGAGCCTGCTTCTCCCTTTCCCTCTGCCACTCCCCCCTGCTTGTGCTCTCTCCCTCTCTCTCTCTCAAATAAATAAATAAAATCTTAAAAAAATACAAACAACATTTTTCACAGAACTAGAATAATACTAAAATCTGTATGGAATCACAAAAGACCCCGAATAGCCAAAAAAATCTTGAGAAAGAAGAACAAATTGGAGGTATCACAATCTCAGACTTCAAGATATACTACACAAAGCTGTAGTAATCAAAACTGAATGGTACTGGCATGAAAATAGATACATAGGTCAATAAAACAGGACAGAGAGCCCAGGAATAAACCCACACTTAAATGGCCCATTAATCTAGAACAAAAGAGGCAAGAATATACAATGGGGAAAAGACGGTCTCTTCAACAAATGGTGTTGGGAATACTGGTCGGCTACATGCAAAAGAATGAAACCGGACCACTTTTACATCATACACAGAAATTAACTCAAAATGCATTAAAGATCTAAATATGAGACCCCAAACCATAGAGCTCCTAGAAGAAAACATAGGCAATACTTCCTTTGACATCAGCCATAAAAATATTTTTCTCAATATGCCTCCTCAGGTAAGAAAAACAAAAGCAAAATTAAACTATTGGGACTACACCAAAATAAAAGGCTTTTGCACAGAGAAGGAAACCAGCAACAAAATGGCAAGGCAGCCTATTGAATGGGAGAAGATATTTGCGAATGATGTATCTGATAAGGGGTTAATATCCAAAATGTATAAAGAACTTAGAGGACTCAACACCCCTAAAACCCAAATAATCTGATTAAAAATGAACAGAAAACCCGATTCAACATTTTTCCAAAGAAGACATATAGATGGACAACAGATAGAAAAAAAATGCTCAGTACCCCTCATCATCAGGGAAATGCTAATCAAAACCACAAGATATCACCTTACACTTGTCAGAATGGCTAAAATAAAAACCACAAGAAATAACAAGTATTGGCAAGGATGTGGATAAAAAGGAACCCTCATGCATTGTTGGAAGGAATGCAAACTGGTACAGCCACTGTGGAAAACAGCATAGAGGTTCCTCAAGAAACTAAAAATAGAATTACCATATATTCCAGTAATTCCATTACTGGGTATTTACCCAGAGAAAATGAAAACACTAATTCGAAAAGATATATGCACCCCTATGTTTATTGCAATGTTATTTACAATAACCAAGATATGGGAGTGACTGAAGTGTCCATCCATCGATGAATGGATAAAGAAAATGTGGTGTACACACACACACACACACACACACACACACACACACAAATGATGGAATGTTATTCAGCCATAAAAAAGAATGAGATCTTGCCATTCACAACAACATGGATGGACCTAGAGCATATAATACTAAATGAAGTCATAGAAAGACAAAAAGCCATATGATTTCACTCATATGTGGAATTTAAGAAACAAATGAAGAAAGAAAAAAAGAGACAGAAAAACATTCTTTTTTAAAAAATTTTTATTTATTTGAGAGAGAGAGAGAGCAAGAGAGCACCAGCTGGGGAGTGGGGGCAGAGGGAGAGAAGCAGACTCCCTGAGGAGCAGGGAGCCCAACGCAGGGCTCGATCTCTGGACCCTGAGATCATGACCTGAGCCAAAGGCAGATGCTTAACTGACTGAGCCACCCAGGTGCCCCCCCAAAAAACATTCTTTTTTTTTTTTTTTTTTATCCATAAACAGATTTATAAGAAACAACACAAGTAGACCAATCAAGCACCTAGTTGCTCCTGTTCAGTTAACAAAAATAATTACCCTCCCCAGGTAGGAACTGTTATAAAATAACACTGACTTAAGAAAACAAAAACAAATACATGGCAGCAATCCAATTTAAATGCTTTGAAAATCTTATATAATCTATAAGATGCACGTAGCACAGAAGAAAATAGTAGCAGAGGAAAGTAAGGAAAATACACATACTCTGATTTTCCAATAAATTAACACACGGAAGCAGTACCTACTAAAAGAACAGTATACAGGTAAAATCTGGCAAAGATTGAAAATTTGTTAAAGTTACACAATTAAGCACCATGACAAAAAAATAAACACCGAAGTATAATATGAATCTCATACTGTAGGTTACTCCTGCTAAGCTCTAGGACTGGACTGCTCATCAAAAAGCACACAGGATGTATATTTTATCCCTGACTGCTAATAATGTCAGGAACTAAAGTGAGCCTCTTAGGACATTTATCATTCAGCTTCATGGTGCTTATCCTTTTTCACCAGAATTAAGGTGACAACAAAGCTGCAAGGACCATCGCCATGACAGTGGTTGGACTCTTGATCATCTCTTATTTGGAGAAACATATACATGACTTATTGCAGATTGAACAGCCTTTACATAATGGCTTAGCTCCCGATCCATCATGGCCAATTCAATCATTGCCTTGTCCATACTGTATTCACTACTCACTTCAGTCTGAGTTTCCACGAGATCCAAGGCAACACCAGAAGCTGTGTCCATTCCAGAGCTGATACAGGACTGGAAGTTTTTCAAAGAGGAGAGAGCAGATTCTATACCACTGAAGGATATAAAACCAGTTGAACCTGAACTGGAACTGGAACGTCCGGGCATCTTGAAATTATTACCTGGATGCCCGACCCAGCTCGGTCTGGCTGCACCCGGACTGCCCACACCCGGACCCCAACCCCAAAAAACATTCTTAAATATGGAACAAACTAGTAGTTGTTGCCATAGGGGAGGTGGGTGGGTGTGGGGGTGAAATAGATAAAGGGAGGGGGTTAAGAGTATACTTATCTTGATGAGCACTGAGTAATGTAGAGAATTGTTGAATCATATTGTACACCTGAAACTAATATAACATTGTATGTTGATTATACTTCAATAAAAACATACATGAGACAAGTGTACACATACACATACACACATCTGCTCACACTGTCAAAGGACACATATAGGAGAAAGAAAATAGCAGTGGCTATTAAGGATATGAAACGCATATAGTTTCACTAGTAATCAAAGAAATAAAAACTAAAATAATAGGACACCTCATTTCACCTCCCAAATTGACAAAGTAATAGAGAAAAGATACAGTTTTCTGTAAGGGCATAAGGAAACAGTCATTTTTGTACATTGCTGGAAGAACAGGATGGGTATATTCTTTGACCAGGTAATATCCTTCTAGGAATTTATATAAGGCAATGTCTTTTTTGTTTTGTTTTAGCAATAGAGGCAGGATGGAAGAGGTAGAACATAAAGAGGGATGAGACCATGAAGATGGGAAACATGGCTTCTTTCATCTCCAAGTCTGTATTTCTTTACAGGCTTGTTTTATCTGAAGTAGGTGTTGTGATTTCAGGTAACTTTATATTTCCTTCTTTTTGCTTATATGTATTTTCTAAATTTTCTGCAAAGCCTATTACTTCTGTAATTAGAGGAAATGTGATGTGAAAAATTTTACGTTACTTCGAAGTCTAATTATAAAGTACTACAATGAAAAAGGCAATATATATTTCCAGAAAATAATTTGATAATAGGAATCAAGAAACTTTAGGTAAGGTCATTTCTTTTAACCAAGTATTTCTCCAAATTGTAAGCTGTGACTGAAAATAATGAAAATCTATAAGGAAGGAATTTGAAATTAAAAAGTTTTTATAAAAGAATTTTTATCCCAATTTTATTAATATTTTTCCACTTTGCCCTTTTTTTTTTACAAATATAATAAAAATTAATTATAGAAAAACCAGAAGACACAACCTCTTCCCATCTTATGGGAAAGCTTTGTCATGGATCTATGGACAATACCTTTTTGTGAATGGCACAAAATATACTGTATTGCTCAGATTCATCTTAGCAGCAAACTCTTTGTCCTCTTTTAAAACTTCAGTCTTTTGCATTTATGGCGCACCTATGGAAAAGAAGAATGAAATATATAATTATAAAAGCAAAATTAAGGAAGCCATAATTGATCATATGGTAGCTTTAAAATTTTACACATGTAATATTACAAAGTTAAAACTTTTACCTTCATCTGTTTGTGAATGACAAATGCAAAAGGTAAGATCTGCACATCAAAGACTCGGGCTACACTTTCACAAGCAATACCAGGAAAAAAAGTGTCCTTAGATTTCAGAATCTATATTGAGACTTCCATTAGTTTGAGTCCAGGGAAACTCAACAGAGTCTACCAGTAGACAGGACTAATCTGACAGTTGTGGTGATGCTACTGATTGTCAGTAAGGCTTATATTCTGAATTGCTTTTCCAATAAGCATGATGATTTACATTGGCTCATCTATCTCCCCATTCCTAGGCTCTCTTATAACCAGTCTTCTGCATTTGGGGGGTAATGATTATTCTTTATTATCTGTTAAAGATGTATATGCCCAATGTAGAAAATCTGGGAACTAAATACTATTATGAAGAAAAATCTATAATCCTACCCAGGACAAAGTTCATTAACAATTTGGCATACTTTTCTCCATGCTCATATTTATTTCTTCATGCTCATATTTATTTTGTTGTATACAGCTGAGATCATTTATACATATAATTCCATAGTCTACCTCTTTAATTCTAGATTATGAGCATTTTTGCCATGTTATCTATCACTGTTCACAAAGATCATTCTAATGACTGCTCAATGTGTATCTCCCAATGTATATCTTCCTATTCATTCACAACTCCTTCTCCACAATTAGAAGCCAAGGCTGTATTCAACTCTTTGTTGAACTATTAAACATTACTGTGTTTGGAAGATCTTTGTGCATATTATTTATCTACATTTTAGGGCTTTCTTTGGAATGGATTTCTAGTACTAGAGTTCTGCGGTCAAAGAATATAACAATTTAAAACATATAATACGTATATTGAAATAATTTTTAGGTAACCTGACTGCTTTGGAGACGAGGCCTTACAGAGGGGGAAAAAAACTAGAAAAAAGGTATTGACTTCCACTTTCACATTTTTCCTGTTGAGGTTATTCCAATCTCCTCACATGTCTATACTTATAAACTAATCTTTATCATTATTTTTATTATTCCCTCTGATTCTATGGCTGTGAAATGTTACATGAAGTGGTAGCTATTATTGCCAGAATTCTGTACCACATTTTACCTAACCATCAAACGTCAAATCAATCAATAATTGCCATGTCTGCATATCTATCCTGCTAATCTAGCATGACTATAGCTTCAATAAACTAAAAAATTCCTTAAACACTAGTTGCAAGATTTCCAAGAAAGTAATTTAAAATAAGGCATTTACTAACATCCTCATGTCCTAATTTCAAATGCAAGAGGAACTATTCATTTGGACATGCTATGGACATGCATGCTCAGTATTTTCTTTCTTTAAATACTTCTTCATTCTTACATAATTTTCTTAAAACATGTTCTCTACGGTTGCATAGCTCTATAAATATTCTAAAATAAGCTCTATGACTTCTAGGAATTACATTTTCTCGGTTTTATCTTTTTTTTTTTTTTTTTTTTGCCCCTTGCTGGAAGACTGCACATGCTATTGAGGCTGAAAAGTATACTCTGAAGTTTATCCATTACACCTAAGGGATGTTCTCAGCTTTCTTCCATTCCACAAGCTCCCTTTTTCTTTATAAATGTCTCTTGAATTCCATAAAACTGTCTTTTCTTGTTTTTCCAAATTATTCCTCCTACAGTTTCTCTTCTCTCTGATTTCTATTTTTTTTTTTTAAGATTTTATTTATTTATTTGACAGAGAGAGACTCAGAGAGAGAGGGAACACAAGCAGGGGGAGTGGAAGAGGGAGAAGCAGGCTTCCCGCCGAGCAGGGAGCCTGATGTGGGGCTTGATGCCAGGACCCCAGGACGATGACCTGAGCCGAAGGCAGACGCTTAACGACTGAGCCACCCAGGCGCCCCTCTCTGATTTCTAAATAAAAGTTCCTCCAAGTATTTGCCTGAAGCCCTATGTGTGACTGCAAGCTGCTCTAACTTCTGTCCATTCAATGGTTTCCAGTAAGGCTAAGGCATTACACTGTGCTGACCTCCTTTCCAAGCCCCAGCCCCATATTTTCAAATATCTTTTTGGCTTCTCCCCTCACTTATACCTTACATTAACTTTGACCTTTCCACTGCCCTCTCAATTAATTCACAATTCTGTTTCAAATATTTCCTTTTATCTGTTTCTTTGCTTTTCCACTTCTGTTATCTTTTTCGTCTGCTTCTACTTGGTCAGACTCTAGTCTATCTTTTCTGGAATTCATCTTTTTTTTGGCAATTTTATTTATTTATTTGACAGAGAGAGAGAGAACAAGTGTGTGTGGGTGGGGAGAGGCAGAGGGAGAAGGAGAAGCAGACTCCCTGCTGAGCAGGGAGCCCCACACGAGGCTAGATCCCAAGCCTCCAGGATCATGACCTGAGCTGATGGCAGACGCTTAACCAACTGAGCCACCCAGGCGCCCCCGGAATTCATCTTAAAAACACTATTATCATAATCATCTTCCTGAAGCAAAGGTGAGATATCACATCTCTGCTCAAAATCCTTCAATGTCTCCCTACGGCCTACAGTATAAAGAATAACTTCATGTAACTAACATTCAAAACTGGCCTCAAACCACTACTCTAACCAAAATTCTTCAACTCCATAATCAGGAAAACTGAACTACGATACAGTTACATTTTCATACCTTTTTATTTGCTTATGCTGTTCCCTCTGACTAGAATATCCAAATCCCAACCACTCTCACAGTCCAGGAGAACATCATCTCTGGTATAAGACCTACCACTTTCCCCCTTTGCTTCAGTTTTAAATACATATATATTAGTACTCTTACTGTATGACAAGGGCTTCTTCAGAGGAGGATACATGTCTAACCCTATGTTTTGATTAATCATTCTATCTCATGATACCTTTTTCTAAAAAGCATTTTTTTAAAGATACAATTCACATACCATACAACTCACCAATATAAAGGATATAATTCAATGTTTTTTTTTGTTTTTTTTAAGATTTTACTTATTTATTCGACAGAGAGAGAGAGAGAGCATGAGTAGGGGGGAGGGGCAAAGGGAGAGGGAGAAGCAGGCCTCCAGCTGAGTGGGGAGCCCTACATGGGGCTCAACCTGAGGATCCTGGGATCATGACCTGAGCCGAAGGCAGACGCTTAACCACCACCCAGGCACCTCTGTAATTCAATGGTTTTTAGCATATTCACTGGTTTATGCAGTCATCACCATGGTCAATTTTAGAATATTTTCATCACCACAAAAAGATGTCCTATGCCCTTTAGCTATTACCCTACCACCCCTCCATTCCTAAGCAACCACTAGTCTACTTTCTGTCTCTATAGATTCCCCTCTTCTGGACATTTCCTTTGAATGGTCTTTGTGACTGGCTTCTTTCACTTGGCATGCTGTTTTGAAGGTTTATTCATGTGGTAGCATGAATCAGTATTTAATTTCTTTTATTGCTGAATAATACTCCATTATATAAATATACCACATGTCGTTTACCAACTTATAAGCTGATAGACATTTGGGGTTGTTTCTACATTTTGGCTACTACGAATAATGCTATTATAATTGCTTGTGTACTATTTTTTGTGTGGGCATACATTTTCATTTCTCTTGATTATATACCTGAGAGTTAAATTGCTGGGCCCTGTGACATCTTTATACAGCAGGTACTCTATAAAAGTCTGCTGAAATCTCTTTCCCTTTTCCATCCCAGTCCTACTCTCAAAGTGATCTCTAAATTCATCCTTCCCTCAAAACATGAACAAGGACATTTTTCCTTCAAGAGGACTGCATTTTAAGAATTAACTGAAGATTAAATGATATGCATGGAATTATTTTTTCCCCTCTCTTGACCTCCCACAACCTCAGGTACTGCATTTATAGTGAGAACTGAGAACTGTGCCAAGAATGCAGTATTTCTGGTCTTGGGCCCTTGGGCCAACTGAACAATCCAGCCAGCTTAGAGTAGAAGATTTCAACAGAGATGTGCAACTAGAATAATTTTCTTCACTCTTTACTCTAAGAAATGGAAATCTTTCAACAATGATAATCAAATTATTTTTCATGGACATCCTAACTTAATATAAGGAACAACGCTTGATAGAGAGTAGAAATATTTTTCACAATTTCCCTTTTCCCAGCAACTTTCAAGAAAGATGATTCACGGAAGATCTTAGTTGACTTTCAATGTTGTAGTCACACTACTTCAACAATAAACCTGAAGCCAACTATTTTGAAAAACCCCAATATTTCAGCATTAGGGAAAAAGAATCACAATGTTTCATATTGGAAAGATTTTAAAGCTCAGACATTTCAACTCTTTTTTTTTTTTTTAAACTGAATCTCAGAAAAGTGTCAAATCACACCTATGTAGTAGTGTTACCCCAAATCAAAATCCAGGTCTTCTGATTTCCCACTCCAGAAAACTTCCTTCTGAATCAAGTTGCCTAAGTCAGACTTCAAAACACCAAAAAGTTCTTCTATTTTGCTAATTAGAGGGTGATCAAGAAAAGTTTAATCAAACGTAAAATTGGACTTCTGTGTTATTATTGCTCCAAAATATTTTTTAACACTTGAGTATGTAGTGGTAGATTCAGTTCTTATGTAGACTGAAGCATCAGCAAATTTGGGGATCTATTTAAGAAAAAAATTTTTACAAAATTCCCACATAGAAATAAGTATTAGGGCCTCAGAAGGGGCTGGTGCAAACAATGGGCTCTGAAACTTAAACCTCACTGTAAATTAGCCCATGTAAATTCCTATTATCTTGCTCCCAGAGGGTAGAGGCAGGTAAAATCTTCATTTTACAGCAATGAAAAATGAAGTACAAATAGTTGATAGGACTTTTTCAAAGTTAGAACTAGTCCAGTTTTTCTTCCTACTATAATACAACTACCCATACAGACTTGAAGAGAA